CTGCACGGGGAGAACATGGAGACTACACACAGGAAGATCCTGGGTGTCCTCACCGAGACGCAAACCGGCGACCTTGCTGCGAGGCGACGGTGCTAACCACCGAGCCGATGATGAAGATGGTGATTCAAAATTATTAAATAATGAAGGAGTAATATCACATATTTGACTTTTTAATATGTTTTCAATGGATATGACATTCTCTTCAAAAAGTTTCAAAGAAAATAAAACAATCCTTCCCTCAAAGAAAAGTAGTTAAAAAGTGGATTTTCCAGCTCCAAAGCTCGTTTTAGGAAGACCTGTGGCAGTCCGTTTTTGATGTAGCACCAAATGACATTTCGATGTGACAAAACTAAGTTGTTTCTCCCCACAACAAACGTTTGGTTGGAACTGAGTGAAAATTAGAGGAGATCTAACTTTTGTTTGAAAGTAAAGCTTTTTCATTTTGATGATAAACTATAGATTTTTATTATTTTCATTTCTGAAAGGAAAAAAACTGCTGAAGCGACTGACATGACGACAAGATTTAACTTTTTCTTTGGGTTTCTGGGATATTCAGTACAAAAAAATTCAGCCAAATCCTGGGAGAAAAAATAAGCAGTTGGTGAGGCTTTAAAGATTCACTAAAGTTTCAAAATTTAACACAGAGGACCTATTTTCAAAAATTCATAACTCAAAAAGTACTTGGAGTAAAACTGCAGGAGTTTGCAAGGTTCCATGGTTTTAGGTAGAATATTTTTCATGTTAAAAAAAATAAAAATAGAATGACCCCAGAGTAAAGAAAGCAGAGAAAACAGTTCAACTTACCTGATCCTGAATCAAACTTAGAGTTTGAGCTGTAAAAGAAAACAAAAATGTCAGTTAGGAAAAAAAAATGTGTTACTCTAAGTACATTAATGTGCTTTGTCTTTCTCCTAAAATTATTTGCAATGTTGTGAGTGTTATGGGTCTCACCATCTGTTAAAAAAAAATCAATCGATTTAAAAATTCAATTTAAGTCAAAGGTCACAACTGATCACTACAGTTGCTGATTCTCCAGACTCTAAAGATGTGATATCTGGCAGCATCTCTTTCTGTAACCTGAAGCCCTGACAGCACACATATTCATCCAAAGTGATGTTAAGCACAAAGAAACATTTCGTCATCTCTTACCTGAACAGGACGGCCCCACAAACAACACAAGTGTAGGTCCCCTCATCTTTATGATGTGCGAACTCTCCAGTAAAGGCACTGTGGAGAAGGATGTATCAGTAAAACTGAATGATTCACCCTGATGAACAAATGAGGACTTGAGTTTAAATACTGATACAATTTTATAATCAATACAGTTCTATCTATCTATCTATCTATCTATCTATAAAAGTCTAAAGTTTAACAGCTTTAACGTGCAGCTGTCAGTTGGAAATCAGCGGCTGCATCGGTAAAATATTACATATGAACACGTTTAACAGTTTTCTACCAGTATTTCTGTCTTGCACCATTTGCAGTAGCGGTGCTTTTTACCATCATGTTTTGTTTTTTTTTTTCGTCATTGTTCTCCATTAAAACAACGTGTTGACTGAAGCAGCTGCACACAATAGATTCATTTTGTGCAGAAGAAGAGTCACGTGACGCGTTAAACGCCTCCTTTTTATGTGAATATTCAGAGTCTGAAGCAGAAAGTCTGAGTAGGCAAAGAAAGTTGATAACCACCTTTGTGATACCTGCAATCTCTCACTGGGACTTACACAAGAAAAGCCTGACTGTGTCAAACTTGATTCATAGTGCAGCCCTCTGGGCTTTGTGATGGCCACTCCACAACACTGACTTTGTTGTCCTTAAACCTCTTTGTAACTAATCTGGCGGTATGCTTAGAGTCATTGTCCATCTGAAGACCCATTAGTGGCCAAGCTTTAACTTCCTGGCTGATGTCTTGAGATGTTGTTTTTAATATTTCCTCATAATGTTCTTTCCTCATGATGCCATCTATTATGTGAAGTGCACCAGTCCCTCCTGCAGCAAACCAGCCTCTCAACATGATGCTGCCACCCCCATGCTTCACAGTAGGGATGGCTTGTAAGCTTCTCCCTTTTTCCTCCAAATGTAATGATGGTTATTATGGATTGTTTGAGGTGGTGGTTGGATGGCAGCCACGCCTCTGTCAGTCTGCCCCAGGGCATGCTAAAATCATAGCTACCACCACTGGAATGAATGTGTGTGAATGAATCACATGCAAACTAGCGGTTATTTTGTTCATAAATACCATGATGATAAACAGTGATTATTAAAAAACTTAGAGGCCCGGGGAAAAAAATAACTTGAAGTTCTTCCTCATACCTCTCAGTTCCTCTCTCCTGGGTAATGTGGTACTGCATTGGTGTAAGGCGCTTCCTCAGCTCCTCCTGAGGGAAGCTCACTGGCCATGTCTTCTTAGTCCTACGTGCTCCTGAGACCAGAAGCAGAGTGGACAAAAGATATTAGCTATGCAGGTTTTCTGATGGCGATAGGAAGAAAAGAAATATCATTACATTATCCCTCATGTCCCAAAGCATCATTTCATCCCAAACCATCAGAGCCTTCAGGTTAACTATCTCTTATATGCTTAAAATGTTTTAATCAATAACTATGGAAATATAAAATGGTATCTAGAAAAAAAATGACTGATATATGAAGTACTTTCCAAGATAAAAATTGGTTTTATTTTTAATATTTTCTTGGATATTGTTGTTCAACGCAGAGCCTCAAATTTCATTATGTGAAAAAACTTGCTAAAGTCGGCCAGCGGACAATTTAAACAATAAAAATAGTCAATTTGGTCAATTTGTTAAATAAAACCAAACCATGCAGTGCATGCAAACTGCAAGAAAGCCAAGTGAGGAACTGTTTAATATCTATGTGACAGCAGCATGTGAGTGAAGCTACAGATTAACAGACGCTGAACTACAGATTTGGACCATTTTAAAGGTTCCCTGTTAATGGTTTGACTACCGGCAGCACTAATGTTTAAAAGTTAGACCAGCAAGCCAAGAATGCTTCAGCAATATTATGCACATGTTAGCTGACAGGAGAGGAGCACATGGTAACATTAACAAAGCAAAGCCTTTGTGAAATTACTGCCAGCTGCAGACTGTCAGACAAAAAAGCCCTGCAGAGGGTAGTTAGAGGAGCTGAGAGGGGCATCGGAGTTTCCCTCCCCTCTGCCCAAGAACCTTTCCAGAGGCGCTGCAGGAGCAGGACACTGAACATTGTCAGGGACTCCTCACACCCTCTCCATGAACCGTTTGAACTGCTGCCATCAGGCAAACGTTTCCGGAGCGTTAAAGGAAGAACCTCCAGAATGATCAACAGCTTCATTCCACAAGCTGTCAGATGCTGAACTGCTGATCCAGATATGCAAACACCTGTTTATTTAAATTACTTTAAGTTATTGGATCCTGAAGAAACACTCTCTCATCTTGCCTGTACTACTGTGTTTGTACCACAAAATGACAATAAACCTGATTTGATTTGATTGAATGAAAGGCTGAAAAACAACAACGTTCTACATTGCTGATTACAAAGCGTTGCCTAAAGCGAAATTTAAGATGAAATATCTTAAATCAGTGGTGATACAGTCGCAACAAGCCAAAGTGTTTGTTTCTGATTGTTAGCTACAGTTTCTTCTACTGTACATGTCAAAAAGTGAAACCTCAAAACACTTCCTTCAAAATATCTAAAATAGGGACGAGGTTTACAAAAAGTCATACTACAGCTCTTCAAAGTCAATGCTTCAACTCAAATTCTTCGAGTCAAGTGTCCTTTTATCAAAATAACATGTGCTGCATTTGAGGTTAACTGATGAGTTTGAGGATAACCAGAGTTTCCAGAAGCAGAATGGGAGGCAGAGCCTTCAGTTATCAGCTCCTGTCTCATGGAATCAGCTCCCAGTTTGGGTACTGGAGGCAGACATCGTCTCTACTTTTAAGGTTAGGATTAAAACGTTCCTCTTATAGTTAGGGCTGCTCAGGATCACCTTAACTGTCATGCTGCTATAGCTTTAGACTGCCGGGGAATTCCAATGACGCACTGAGCTCCTGTCCTCTGTCTTTCTTCCATACAGCTGTATATCACCACTACATATCATAAGGTCCTGTGCTTGTTCTCTCTGTGGACGTCTCTGGATCTGGAGCTTCACGTCTCTGACCTTCAGCCGCTGACCTCACCGACCCTCAAAATATTTACTGTTCTGTTCTACTGCTTGCTCTCCATCTTCTATCCTACACTCCTCAGTGATCCCTCACAGTTCAGCTCTGATGTGTCGCGGCTCTTCTATAAATGCCGACGATGCCATGTTGTTGAGAACTGCTTCATTTTCTACTCCTTCTGAAGTTTTACGGGAGAGAACTGATTTTCAGTGGAGCTGTTTTTATACCCAGTGATCTCAACCTCCAACATAACCCGCTGTGGAGCAGGTTAGCTGTTCAGCGTAAGTTACCATGGCGATGTACCCCGGTAAGAAGTGAAACACCATCGCAGGACTGAAACCCAGATTTAACCTGAAGCTACCTCACTAACCCTCAATCCTGCTTCGTAGTGCAGGTCCCTGGTGAGGCAGTGCCTTTATCACCTCAGACAGCTGAGGAAATTCTCTCTGAAGGTCCTGTGGACATTTTACCATAGAGTGGTGGACACTCAGTGGTACGGGAACAGCTCTACCTGTGACCGGAGAGCCCTGCAGAGGATGCTGAGGGCAGCGAGCATACCATGGATAGACAACAACAAGAGCTCTACCTCTACCTTGTGGCTTTTTTCTAGTTTTCTCTTGTTTACTAAAGATGTGTCCTTTTTTATAATGTCTTATTGTTATTGCTCAGCCTTGACAACAGTCACGTTTTCATTTCACTGCACATACAGCAAGAGCACATGACCAATAAAAACTACTGAATCTTGAATAAGATTAGCACTATAAAATAAAACAGACTATACAATCACTTAAAATAGGTCATATCTGATCAAAGCATGAGGAGAGAAGACTACAAAACTGACCAAACCTTTAGCGCTACTAAACTGAAAAAATAAAAAATAAAGATATAATTGATGTTGCTTTTAATACGGATCGCTTATGACTTAAAAAGTTCCAGATCCAATAATCAGCTCTGTTCTCAAGCATCGCTCAATGCAAAAAAAAATACATATGGCTACTCCCTGAGAGGGTCAATAAAATGTAAGAAAACACTCAAAGCAGGTCACATCACTCTTCACACATGCTGACTTTGAAAGTGAAGACATGCTGACACACCAGTGCAGTGTTAAGGCTTTAGAGACACAGGGCACAGCAGGCACACAGCACCCAGTCAGTGGACCTGAGGGAAGACTGCAGGACCTCAGAGCTACAGGCTGACTCTTGGTTATTAGATGCAGCAGATTGAAGCCCGACATGGTTACTGAAGAAAGGCACTCCAACCACCAACCACACCCCTCAGCAGGGCTACAACCAAGGACTGGGCTGGATGAAGGGGAGCAAACAGAGTAAGAAACAATACATGACAACACAGGTCAAGAAAATGAACAACATCAGACAGAAAATGTGGAAACAAAGCACAGGACATCAGGATCTGTTTAGAACTCTGCTGTTCATGCAGATTTTTGAAATTCACCGAAAATTTAAAGTCACCATTGAAAAAAATTTCCTTTAAATGCTCTTTAAGTTAAATAAAGTTTGTAAGCTTCAACTGCACAAAAAAAAACAACTAACCCGTGATATCTAATTGTTGAGTGACGAAAACATGAACACGTTGCTTAAAGGCTTGTCTGTAGATGTCTACATTTGAATAATACATCTACATTGTGCTTTGCCCCAGTGGTCAGTATCAGCCAACATGTATGATGGTCTGACAATGACGCTTAAAGTTCATAGGATAACTAAAATAATTAATTACAGAACAGAAACATTTTAAATAAGGCTATCGATATTAACGATCAATCTACAAACCTTTACACCTTTGGAATCCTGTGGCATTTTAATGCAAAATTACTAAGTTTGACACCCACTTCCTCCCATAGTTTAAGTGCGGATGTTTACCTGGCTGAATTACTTAAAGGCATGGCAAGTGTAGATTACATTACAGCTGAGATACCCATGACTGTGCTGAATGGCAACTTTTGCTTTAAAAAGGTTTTCAACATTGTTCAAGACTAGTGGTTGTAAGGAACTATCTAAATGGCTTCAGGACAATCATCACAGGCATACTGAGGGTGAAATGTTAGCTAAAAAGTTCATGACCTGTATGGCTGTACAAAGGCAACGTGAGTAGAGCTGTTGGCATAAACTACATTGCACTGACTGGAGAGAAGAAAAAATAAAAAAAGAACTCCCTCAGTGTATAACAGCATGCCTAATCAATGACAAATGGAACTGTGTCAGTTTGCTTTAGCTGTAGTCAAAACAGAGGAATGGTGTTTTGCTAACACAGCAGCTAATTAGGCCTCTAATGAGCAATAAGGAAGAGTCCCTCATCCAGGATATACCCTCAGGCTGGAACTGAATTCCTGAAAAGCAGGTCCAATGTAACACTGGCACAGAAAAAAAGCACAACTCGGCCAAGCTGAATATGACAGGTTGGTAATACTGCTGAAACAATGCAGGTATGGTGGTTTCCTTTCCAGTATCATGTCCTATTAAATACAATTAATATAATAATTACTATATGATTGTAGTCTATTGTAGTTTATATTACAAATGATTTTATGCTTGTCCCGTAAATGGCCATGATCACAATGCAAAGGGTAGTTGTTCTGTTTGTCTTGCATAGTTTGTGATTTTGTTCCTTATGTTCAGCACAACCTTTTCATGAGGTTATCTCTGATATTGTGTAATAAGTTCCTTTTGCTGAAACCTGTCTGTGCCCGCTCCATATCTCCATTTGTCACAGCTTGGCTCAGCAACTGTAACAAAGCTGTACTGACTAAAAAGGTATTTATTTTAACAAACAAAGAAATAAAAAAACAACCAAAATGTGCACTAACGAACAGAATAAAGATAAAACCATGCTGCTGGTGTCTGGAGGAGGGCACCGCCTGTGAGACAGAGATCCTGACTCTAGCAGGGACACCTAGCGTCCAGGTGGAGTGTTGTACAACTAATGACCATCCAGGCAGCGTGGACCCCCTTTAGAACAGGTGAGGCAGCAAGGTCTGGGGGCTGCGATTGCCTCATTACACTCAAACTGATAAAACGGTGTGACATGACACCGTCCCTCTATCTGTCTCACCAGAATCGACTACCCCCCCAGTCTTCAGGTGGTACTTGTGGTGTCTATTTATACATTCAGATCCTGCCAAGGCAACCAAGGATTGGCGACCCCACTTGAAACCTCAGACGGGCCCGTAAGACAACCACTCCAACCACTTTCTCGCCACACTACCGAACCCCCCAACAGACTCCAAGGGAATCTGCTCTGAAGCCCAAACAGGGACAGAACCACAGCAACTTACCACAACTGTGTAGCTCCAGAAGCAGCAGAACTCCAACACACAAGCACCAGCATCGTAGCCTGACAACACAAACCGTGTCTTCTGAGCAAATTACTGAATTATTCCACAAAACAAAAAGCTGCTTCCTTGAACTCCAGAAAACACACCCCACACTCATTCTAACAACCAGATTTCACACTTGTTCACCAAAACGCTGATTAGACAGGACACACACTGCGTCACTCACCACCACTGAACCAGCACCTGTCTTCATCCACAGAAATCTCCAGCCTCTGGCCACAACGCTTATCACCAAGTAGAGCTACTTGCTACAAATGTTTAAACTGGATCTACAGAGGGCTGGACAAGCCCCCGTTGTTATGAAGGTGCTGCTGGCATCTAAACTCAGGAACTTCTGTTGGGTCCCGGATGAGCCCCCATTTGTTACAGCTTGGCTCAACAACTGTAACAAAACAGGGATCAGATCCACTGTGACAACACAGTTAGTGAAGTGGAGATCATCTGAGTGCAATTACTGTGTCTGAAGTGATTGGTGTACGACGACACTTTTGTCTAAAAGATCCAGCAACTTGTGAATGAGTACTCCTCGCTATAATTATATAGGGACAAAAGAGTGCTCAAAGGCATTCTGTGAAAAAGGGTACTGCAAAGCACAAGTTGAGGGACAGATGCAAGAAGATTTATTGAATATCACTGGAGTACAGTTAAATCCATTAGGAAATGGATGGAATGTGGCACACGTGTAAATCTGCCAAAAGTACGCTGTCCTAAAAGATTTGTGACCATGCAAGAAACTACTAAGAGAGGCCACCAAGACACATGTGAGTCCTCTGAAGGAGTTACAGGCTTCAGTGGCTGAGCTGGGAGCAACTGTGCATAGAAGTGTTGCCCTGGTTCTTCACAGTCACACCGTCATGGGTGAGTGGCAAACAGAAAGTCACTGTTGAAAAAAAGTCATTAACTCTTGATGAGAGGTGGCCAGAAGGCATGTGGGAGACTCTGAAGTCAACTGCAGGAAAGTTCTTTGGTCTGGTGAGACCAACATCGAGCTTTTTGGCCATTTTTGTAAATTCTTGTCAAAAAAGACAAACTATATTGGCCATGATTCAAAACTCAAAAGTACTAAAAAGGGAAAAAATCCCAAG